TCATAACATGTGTCATGAAATCTCAAACTCTCTAATTATCAATTGAGAACCCCAAGAATCAATAATTATCCTTGAAATGTCTGGAACAAATGTTCTAACAAATAAATTTTATAAATTTTATGTCTTACACATCCAAATTTAATCAGAACACGACTTAAATTAGGAAAGTTTTGTTGTTTCGACGTGCCTGAACTCCAGCCATGGTTAGTTGTACTTTTATTTTCGCAAATAATGGCTAAGTATCAAAGTCCTCTCTCCCTCCCTCTCTCTCTCATCCCCTTCTCTAAGCGCGTTTCTGCGAAGCCGACATGTTTTCCACTCACTCCTTGGATTCAGGTCTCTTATTGTTTAATGATTCGTACTGTTTTGTCAATGGTAAGAACTGGAATGGAAATGCGATTCGTCACCACCTCGAATCCACTAGAACGGAAAGTTCTTTAGAAGACACATTGAATGAGCCAGAGACACATCGCAAAGACCTGTCCAGGACGTTGAGAGAACGGCGAGACATCCATGTTTGATAAATTTTACGGCCATCGTTCCTCGTCCATGATGAAAGACCAGGAACCCATCATTCATGACAACTGTCATCGAAAGAATCAAGCACTTCTGATGAAAAGGATTTTATACCGCAACCCAATTGGCTTCCAACTGATAGCTTCGAGGATTACTGAGATATTCTACCATTTCTATTTCTCCAGCTTTACCTCCAACGTTCTGCAGGTCTTCATCGAGAGATCTGAAACGGGACGAGAGAGAGAGAGGGAGAGAGCAGACTCGAGCCGTATCTGGAGCAGTGATGTCAATTCACGGAAACCTCTTCTCGAAATCTGAAAAGTGAGTACGGCAGTCAAGTAAAATTGCGACACCAGACGACGAGATACTGTCCTTCACAAATGACGTGTTGGTCATGGTCAGCCACATATAGCCACAAGTGTGGACAGCCAGCACCAGATAAGCAGGGGGCGAACGTCCATCATCTGCATTAGCAAGAGAATATAAGGCCCAGGACCTGCGCAGACATCGTAACAGCTGCAGTGTGCATCATGAGCGAATGAGCATGGCGGATTTATGTTTCGAAGGCTGGAAACTTTTCCTGCTACGTGTGCTTTCTACTATTGTGAACAACGAAATTACTCCTCGACATGCTATAAAGTTTCCGAAAGAAGTTTGGCCTCGAGAATGTTTTCTTATTAACAAAACAATAGAAAACAATTTTTTCTCTTGATGTTTTCTCTTCTCGAGGTAAAACCCCAGGGTCCTCGACACTTGTGCGATTGCGTGGACAAGAAGTGATCAAGTCCTGACTTGCTGCGATCGGTCTACTAAGCCAGTGTATTTTGGAAGAAGAAAGTAAAATTTGTTCCAAAAGTAGATTTTGTACAGTCAGCTCCAGTTCAAAGCTTACGTCTTCATTTCTCGTTGCAGTACGATCAACTGTCAAGGAGGACCTTCGATGAACGTTAATCCAATGGGATGGTATGTAGACACAAACCTCCTTCAACCATAATACATGCCTCTTCCGTCTCTGAGTCTCTCCTCATTGACCCACTATCAGTACTCTTTGCTTGTTCATCTTCGACTTTGAACCTAGGTCAATCAAATGGATGAGAATGTTGTCACACTTGAGGAGCTTGACCCTTCGAATTTACTTCAAGACTATTCAAACTTGAGTCGAACTCTGAAAAAGTCCACTAAAAGAATCTAGTCCAAAGCCTTCCGTCCGGTGACCACCTAATGTCTAGATTTTATCTGAAACCAAAAATTATTTCCAACAATATGCCCTCCTATTCGATATAAATATATGGTGTATTTATGGCTTGCCAAAACCGCAAGTCATAAGTCATAAACATATCCTTGTGCCATGGGTTTTGCATTCCAACTGTCCACATAAATCAGTAGTAACAGCGGTACCTTTCTTCAGAAAGAAGGACGAGTTTGTGTGATTTACGGTGGATGGCTATCTGTGGTAAAATAATCTAAAAGATCTAGGAACAAGCAGATAGCCGAAAAGTCATAATGCTCAAAGCATGGATCAGCAAACAATCGAGTCGTCGTAAACTAGGACTTGACTCTCCAAAGGTGCGGGAAATGTCCCGAGAAATTTCTTCTACAGAGTTTCTCTGAATACTCTTCAAATGAGTCTCGCCACCAAGAAAGGTGCTGAACTGAAAGTGCGAATATGAGGGAATATGAAGGACTAGAGCATCATCATACCCCACGTACATGTACATATCTTATTTGCAAGTAGTTAGCAGAAGAACACGTAAGAGCCGTGGCGATGCTGAGCAGAGAGAAGCTAGAATAGGATGAGAAGGTCGACGTGAAACTAGAGGCCATTGGTGGCTGGTGACGGCGATAGGGTTCTAACTTATCGTCCTAAGAATAGCAAGACATGTACACGAAGATTCATGCATTAACTTCGACAGTCGAGAGGGAAAATATCTGTAAAATAACATTAGGACGTCAAAGATAACGATGCGATTTCTTCTCGGAGATAGTTGTCACGTCCATCGTACATCCCATCCCGTTCAGCACTACTAGTAGGACATCGTAGCGTTTGGTAGAAGAGAAGAGAAGAGAGGATTGGGAAGGAAAGGCGGAATAGCTTTTACTTTCGTAGTCCCGCGAACCTATGGAATCGAAGACTGCTCAGCTGCTGCCTTCATTGGGCCGAGAGCATGTAGATAGCTATGCATTGTCATGTTGTTGCCATCGTCATCTGCATGAGCAAGATGCAATGAATCAGAAGGGCCTACGTACACACGGGCGGTTGGTCGGTCGGGCAGCCCTTCCCCTCCGAGGCTCGGCCTGATGTGCTTCCGAGCCAAATTATTCCTCTGCCCCTTCACGCAAACCATGGTAGCATCTTTTGCCACTGGCCTCGACAGTTCTACATACAGCACAGCTGCGACGGATTTCGGGATTAGAATAGAACGGCATCTTCAATTGGGTTGGGATGTATCGCAACGAGTCCCACAAGGCCCAATCAGTTGTCCCACCAGTGCTCATCCGATTGTTTTTCCAAATCACCTGTAAATTTATACGTCCCCCGGTAATGTTTCAGACATAGATCGAGGGCTCGATCGGAACCACGGCACGGCACAGACGATTGCAGCAGCAGCAGCAGCTTGTTGGGCTTCTACGAAAGCTGTGAGTGAGGTCCAATGAGTGCATGCGGAAGGTGTGGAAGAGGGGCCGCCCTCATCGAAAGGTAGACTCAGTAAATGATTTTCCCCATGTTTGGAACCAGTGTGTCTTACACGCATTCTATCCCCTACACTGGCCCGCATAAAAAACAGCTAGATCCAAGCCACTGGACAATCTAGGAATGGCCTTCAGGATGCATTTCAACCCCGTGAAAACAGCTAGATCCCAATCACGGCACATACTGGGAATTGCTGAAGGTGTGAAAAGTTTGAGAGTGGAACAGATGACCCAACCACTTACATGTAGCCACAGGCTTGATTTTCATGCACTATCCTCTATTCCACCATAGTCAAACACTCCACAATTCAGTGCGCTAAAATGCAACGATAGGATGTAAAGTTGTGGGAAGAGTAACCGATGTCGTTCTCAGCACCTACATCTACTTTTACATCTATCTATAGCTTTTCGTTTTATTTGATTGGAGTATTACGTTATTTGCTTTATGTTTCACAGAAATTATTGTTCGTGATACTTATCTATCATGTCAATAAGGATGTGGGGTGGGGTTGGTTTTGACATGAGAGCCTTTTGTAGTAAGGGATCTTTTATATGTCTTGAAATTACTTTGGTAAATAAATTTCTATCTTCAATTGAAAAAAGTAGGTTTTGGTTGTGTGCTGATGATTTTTCTTTTAATGGGGATATGAGTTTTATCTACGACATGCCCGAGATGTGTTATTACTGGGCGGTGAAAACCTTCACGATATTACGTGTAGATAACTGGCTTGTACAAATGTGTTTATTTATTTATTTATTTATTTTACCCGATGCTGGAATTGGTTCACTCTCAATGGCATCACAATGCGCGCCTTGATGGGTATCCTCATCTTTTTCTATACACCTTTCACATGAAAAAGAGCGAAGAGGAATAGTGGTGGGACCCACGGAACCTAGGGACTAGGCAGCGACGAGAATAAAATCTTCATATTCCGAGCCCAGAGAAGGAATCTTATTGGAGGCAACTGACATGGACAAGGCCCGTGACATAAGACGTGTGGAAACATGGAGAATCCAACTGGAAACGCAGCAGAGGCGGCTTATATCTGAGAGACGGTACAGCAATTCTCAGAATCGGTCGCCATGGATCGGTTGGATCTTTTCGGATTGACTGATTGATCGATCGCTCGTTGGTTGGAAAGTTTCATGGCCTTGCAGCAGCCCAGGGTCCACTCCTCTGCTGGATCGACGATGGACGAGCGCGCCATGGAAGGAGCTGGACGCTTATCGGGAAACGCCTTGCGTCGTCGTCTTTGCGGCTGGACCCAATGCTACGCGATGGCGATGGCGATGGCGATGACCGGCGGACTTTACAGCTCTCTCTCCACTTCACTTTTTTATTCGCCTGCCTTTATTTTTTCTCCCAGCGAAGGTTCCTGGTGTTCCCCTCACTCTGGACTCCTGACGAATTCGAAACAAGAAGAATCTCGAAAAGAAGAAGCGAGGAAAGCTCGCAGACATTGAAGCTTACAGGACTGCGTTGGAGTGCACCTCGTCGTCACTCCGGATCGGTATGTCTTGACTGTAGGCCTAGGGGATGCTTTGGGCAAGGTTCAGAAGTCATTCTCCGTCTGCCAAAGTCCACCCTCAGACATGTGCGATTCTGTAGGGCACCTTCGGGCTTCTGGAATCGGTCCAAAGCATGCTCAGATGTGATTTTGAAAGGAAGAGCGAGATTCTGTGGCGACAGCCGTAGCGCATGTGTCGGTCGGACCTGGGACCCGAATTGTAGCTGATTGTTGTTCAGAGATTGGAACTTGGTCGGAGGAGAGGCCCATGGAACGTCGTGTCGTGGTCCTTGCTCACCTGAAGCATTCGGCAACAACGTGGGCTCAAACCGCCGCACATGTTGGAATTCTAGGTTCGTTCGTTGTCTAGCTTCGGAGCCACTTGCCCCATCACGACGCGCAATCTTCGGTTCGATAATCACGGAGATGAGAGAGATGTCGGCCAGCCAGCTGATCATAGTACGTCTTCGCTGGGTGCTTGGGCCAGTCAGTCTTCGAGCTTGTGAGACATCTGGCTGTCAGTGGCTCTGAAGGACATCGTACTTCTTGCCAATATGCAATTCCGCAGCCACCGCACTTGAGAAACATGTTCTCTCCAGCTCATCATCGTACGAATTGCCACTGTCGCGATTGCCAATCACGAGCGTGTGTCACGACGGTGCCGAACACTGTCAGAAACATACTTCCGAATTCAGCTACAAGTCCCGATGCTCTTTGTTATGTCGCTTGGGGATTGAGAGAAGAGAGTGCGAGTTATCAATTTCGAAGCACAGATTTACTCGGCAGCCATGTTGAGACTGAATCCCAGTGATGGGAATTTCGCGCTGCTTACGGCATGATTACGAAACGCTTTCCACCAATCTGGAGAATCAACGCTTGAGTTCCACGTGGTAAACAAACTACAAGGCTGAGGAGGAACAGGTGGGCCAGGCCAGGTGTTTACTTCAGTAACAATCCATCCGTCAATGACGAGTATTATTTATATATTGGTGGACGATAAATAATGATTGCATTTACAGCGGAATCAGCTACCAGAACCTGGACTTGGACTGCTCACGTCTGTGCAGGAGGAGCATATGTACACGAGAGGGGCTCTCGGTCTTTCATCTCGAGGTAGTTTGAAAAAATAATCTACGACGAGAAGGACGAAGGGGATGAGATGAAATGTTGTCATGACGAACTGTGCCCATTCGTTGAACCGAGAACTGATCCGATCGATCGCTCGATCTCCGAAATTGTCGTGGTGTGGTGTGGTGTGGTGTGGTGTCATCGCGTACACCGCACATGTTTGATAGGCTACGCTAAAATTTGGAACTCTGGCAAACCCTGATGTGATCAGGCGAGCGCTCGGTCGTGCCCTCATGACACGCCCCTGAATAGCATGACGGCCATGCGTCCCAGGCAAAAATGGATGAAGTTCCCGCACGAGTGCGTCACATAAGAACCAAAACTCGTTCCCACCACGCACTGCCACCCGGGTCCGTAAGATTTGTCGAAGTCCTGTGCATCACAATGGGCTCGTTGTCAGTCCTTATTATGCTCTTCTCCGAGCAGAGCCGCAAGAGCCTCATAATGCTGTACATGCTAGGTGAGCGAGCGACTCGTTCATTCCATTCCAATCCAATCCAATCCGCGAATGTGATCAATTGCCACAACCTTGGCAAGCTTTATGCAGATGCAGAACAAGGGACACTGTAACATGGACATGAATGAACGCAGGAAACTGGTAAAGCATGAGTGAGTACCTTCTTGATGTAGCACGCTATGTCCTTGCAGTCTGTGACGTCGAACGAGTCCAGAGCCTCGGAAGCACAGCGCATGGCATGAGCCTGCATCTTGGCTGGCATGTCAGTCTCGCCGACGATGGCTTTGCCTTCCAACATTGTGGCTTCTCGATCGACAGGGGCGAAAGAAAAAGCGGATCCGGCTCGGCACTCCCACCAACAACTGTCGGAGCTCAGGAAATTCAGCGAGTGCGAGTCCTGAATCCGCAAACCCGTTTACAAAATTCAGGCGATAGCTCTCGACTGTCTCAGGACGAGACCATCCCTCGAAGTGAACCGAACGCAGTCGCACGACGTGACCACCGCACTCTCTACACTCGGCGCAAACACGAAAGGAGCAAATGCGCAGCGCGTTCTCGTTCGGACGACGACGAAGTCAACCGCGCTCCACGTCTAAAATGCATCAGACGAAATCTCTGAACCATGGAGAAGCTGATGATGGTCCCGGCCGAGGAGGAATTGCAATCCGACCCAGCAATCGCCAGATTGACGAAACCGGAAAGCAGATGCAACCGACGATAATTCACGGCAGCAGCGGCCGATCGATCGAGCGAGCGAGCAAGCAGCTGGAGCGCGAAGCAGATGGTGGAGGAAAATGTTCCAGAGGAAGAAGGTGGCCGGGCCTTATAAGGCGGAGCCGGAGCGCACAATTATCCGCATCATTCGCGACGGCCCTTTGCATCCTCCGACTCGGCGGGCATCATTCCTTCATTAGCTTAAGCTGACCAAATCCGATTTACTGCCCCGCGCTCTAGAATCTAGTCTCTTGTGTGCAAGCGAGCGTGGTGGGCCCCGCCCCACGGGTAAACTGACCTACGTTCCTCGGCCTTCGCTTTTCCTCTTCCTTTTCTCCCTCTCCATTTCTTCCTTCCTTCCTTCCTTCCTTCCTGGCCCGCCTGCCCGCCTGCCTGCCCGTGAGTTCCAGTTGGTCGGTATGGGGTTATTTCTGAAGCTCCCCGACGGCTCGGATCGCAGCATCTGAACCAGATCCGAGCTCGGCTCTGCATTAGACTTGACCTGGGATCTTCGCTGTGCGATGAAAGCGCCAGAGCCGGTCCTCTTACAGACTGCTTGTCGGGGAACCGGCTTTGCAAAATTAGGATCTATCTTGGAACAACATAAAGCATAGGAATTGGGAGTTATGAGAGGGAACCAGTCCTGCAGCAAAAAGGATCTATCAATACCCAATTAGGATTTATTCTTGAAGAAGGAAAATTTCAGATCCAAAGGGTCTAAGTGAGCTAGGTCCAAATAGCGTCACATGTCGATGTGAGATTACGTTTCACTAAAGCATGTTATGGAGTGGAGTTTTGTGATGATTTTCCTCTTCAAGACTCAGTCATCAACCCCTTATTTTTGCTTCAAAAGGAGCGAGCGTCCATTCCAACTAATTGATCCAAGCACAAATATAAACTAAAATATATTTAGCAATCATTTACTGATGTCGATATGTGTAGAAATAATATGCATAGGTTTGAACTTCCATGTATGGAAGTATAAACAATTGCACAAAAATCTGGATCATAAAAATTCAACATATTCAATATTTTAATATAATCATTTAAGAATTTTAATTTTTATTTATCATACTCAATATTGTTCTACACTTTATGATAAGATCTGTAAGTTATAGATGGACTTTAAAATCTATAACTTACAGATATATCTATATCTAGGTATAGATGGTTTAGAGTTATATTTTTAGAGTACTACTCAATTTTATTGAAAAATCTCATCAAATTCATAATCTTTTTCTAATGTTTACTCAATTTGAAAAAACCTCATCAAATTCATTTTATTTTTTTATTATATACTCAATGTAACTTTGTTTTTTAATCGATTTTTTAACTCACTGAGATATAATTCAAAATTTAATGCATCATATTAAAAACATTCAATCAAAATCTGAACTCAAAGTTAAATCTATCATATCATACATTTTGTAATTTGAAAGAGGTACCTTCTACTCTTTGTTGTAACAAGTATAAAAGATTTACTATTTTTTACTCTTTGATCACGAATAACTTTTTCTTGCTACATTTACCGGTAGATTTAAATTTGTTCAGTGTGAGAAGTATTATTTCATGCATATACATGTTCTATTGACCATGTAAAATTGAATGTATTGCTCATGTCTTAAATTCTAACAATAGTAATGTATATCGAAATTTCTTTAAATTTTTTTTGTAGGTTAGATGAATTTTGAAAATAATTAAGCCTTTTTCATTTTAAATCTTCTGCAAATAGAATTTTCATTAAAAAATCATGTCGATCTGAAACTAAATTTCATTATAAAATTTATGATGTATGTATAATATGTAACTCATTTTACTATTATCTAAAACTTCATTGATAAATATCTTTTAAATTTTATTTATTTAATTAAATTAAACTTCGTATTAATATGTCAAATTCTAAACATTACAATTCAGAAGATACAACTGAAAATATTTCTTCAATCATACGTTTCAATTTTTTTAAAATTCAGAAAAATGTGAAATTATGATATTAAATAAATTACATCATTCAAATTAATCCCTTTTAAAGTTTTTCTTGAAATAATTATATTTTTTGAAAATATTTTCAAAATTATGATCTATAAAAAGTTGAGCCTTGCACTATTCAATTTCAAATAGATCAAATTAAAATCTGCAAAAAAATTATTTTTATTTTTTGATTTATCTTTTAAATAAATTTATTTGTATTGAAATCTATCATCAAATTGTTCAAATTATCTCAAACTTTTACTTAATTATTTTTTTCGAAAATAAAACTTTTATTTTGATATTGAAATAAATTTTAATTCAAATTATTCTTTTCTTCATTAATATTTCAAACTAATAATTTGAAAATAAATTCACATTTGAATAGAACCTTTTTTGTTACTATCTTACATTTAAAAAAAGATTTATATCATATGAATTATAATATACTGTATATATGCTAAAAATCATTTGATAAAGATGCATTTGTGCTAAAAATACATGATTCATTTGTGTTATGGTTAACTCTAATTGTAGAGTAACCTCATGTACTCGCTATTTTCAGTTAGGACATTCCTGAACTCAGGTTTAAATACCCCCAAGATATTTGTACTCTACAAGGCTTTGACATACTCTAGTAAACTCTTGCATGCGTGTTTTCTGAGGTAGTCCTATGTGGTGAACCACTTTAGATGAGGACTCGTTTACTTTCATTTATTTATGCGTTTCACTTTTTATTAATTTTTGATTTTAACTCTTACAATTTGATTTCATTTATCAACAAAATCTCAAAATCATGTCTATCAGTAACGTAATCAAATATTTGAGTTTGTTATATTTTTACAATTTTTTCCCATCAAATTTCTGTTACTCAAACATCTATATTATTTATTAAATTCACAATTGAACTTAAAAAAAAATTTTAATACTAAATCTAAACGCTACAAAAGTGTTGTAGACCTTCATTTGTTCAGGTTCTTAAAAACATAAAAGTATGTAAATGATTTAATAGTTGTTGTATGTGAAGTGTCATCCAACATGAAGTATACTGGCATATATTCATGATAAGATCTATATCTAATCTATACATTCAAGATATCAAAGTATAAAGCTCATACAATCTTGTAGATGTGGCACAATATGTGAATATCATACCAATTTGAAAAAAATTTTAAAAAAAATAAATTTCTAAATTAATTTTTTTAATTTTTTAATTTTTTTTATTACAATTTGATTTGAAGTTTAAAAAACATACAAATCACTTGAAAATCTAAACATGCTTTCTAAGTTTTAAATAAATTATTGTTGAAACTGTGTACTTGAGCTTTGTGAGCTTTAGATTTTTTTTAAATGATTAAATTTTTGAATTTTATAAAAATTGAATTTCAATTACAAATATGATAATTATATCATTTTAGTTAGAATCAGAAGTTCAAAATATATTCTTGTTTTAAAGAATTCTTTTATTTTCAAAATTTGGTTTTTTTTACTAAAAATGTGATCTATATATGTTAAATCTTAAATCTGTTATTGTCAAATTTATAACCTCATAATTAGAAAAACATGGTGGAAACATAACACAATTTCTATGCACTTCAAAATAGTAAGTCACAATGATTTTGAATAAAATATTTTGTAATATATAAATATGTTTTGTTGTTTGATTGAAAATCTAATTGAACTAAAATTTAAATCAATAAAGAAAATACATTACTTTTGAAGTTAAAGATGTATTATTAAATGGATTTTTCTGCAATATATGACACATGAAATTACTTTTTGATAAATAGAAAATAAATGATGATATAAAAAAAGAAGATGTAAATATATCTATAATCTTAAATGATTCCACTGTATATGAAAAATTTATTATAGAATTTATTATGAATTATAGATTGCTTGCGACAGGTTTGAAGAAAATAAATACATAAAATTTCACATGGGTTTACAATGTCATAGCATGCCGCATCGAATCGGAGAACATAATACTTTACTCGAGTGCGAGGGATCGAATTTTTAAACGAAAGCTTATGGAATCAGAATCCGAGGGAGAGAGACAGGAATGCGGATATCAGATAGATATGGCGCGGAGCTCGTCCCCAGAGGAAGAGAGAGGATGAGAATGGAGCCACGATGCGGATGCATGACCTCCACAGATAACTCCCGGTCTCAATGCCAGACACCCAACGGTTCGACATCCGCGCTCGGTTAACTCACGACCTTTAGTCAGGCCCTGGTCAGTAACTCCGTCAACGGTCGGCCCCTTACTCCTCATCCAAAGTCCAAATTGCAGATCCTCTCCACGTCTCGGATGCGACTGATCCTGGGCCCCTGCCTCTGTCATGAATCCTCGATCATTGAGGCCTTCGGAGCTCGGTAACTTTGCTGATGACGCTCTACGAATTCGGCACTAGTTTCGAACCATCCTCGCTCATCTTCTGCTTCCTCCTTCAACTTGCATGCCACGCTTTCAAGTCGAACTTTTTCCATGAGCTAAACACGCTTTGCGTTGGTGTACATATCATACATCGTCTTCGCTCTCGTTCTCTGCTGTGGGGATCGTACGCTGATTTCGCCTCGTTTTCCATGCGATGACCAAAAGGAGAAGATGGCCTCCAGTGAAAAAAGCCGCGATCAAATGTATGAATTTGCCCTTCCTTTTGAACACTGAAAACTAGGCCCACATCAATAGGTACAGCACTCATTGCGGCTTGAGCCAGAGGGCTGCTCAGTCAAACAGACAGGAAGCACTTGCTGAAAACTTTTTGTCTTCATGCAGAAACGAGAAACATAGACACTCGGCAATGTATCTCAACAGCGACTTGGGGAAAAGCGCCACCGCGCATTCGAGCTTCGTAAAATCTACTGCCCACCATGAGCAGGAGATGGATAAGTTTTGATCTCGAGCGATGCGGAAGTCTGCATGAACACAATGTAATCATTTTGCAATTATCACGACGTTCGCTGAACTTGGCTTGCGTGCGTCACAGCACTGAAAGTGAGCTATTTACCTCCAATAATGGCCCGCATGTTTCAGTGAAATTGAAAGACCAAAGTCAATCTTCTATACCAGAACTCCTTCCATTACTCACCTGTTTTCCATGG